GAAGATCTTCTCTCACTACTCTAAAGGGCCCCTTTGGCAGTAGGAAACACATAGACTAAAAAGTTCTTTTACAGTCTGAAAGAAGAGAACCTTTTTCACTCCATTTGCATATGGGAAATTGGAGGCTCCTTCCTGTCACAGAAACTGAAGGGACATTTGTTTTATAGCTTGAGCTTAAAACCTGATTACCCTGTCTCCAACTTGTCCCTTATGTTCTAATACTCAGTCACCACTCTTAACCCAGAGTACACACTCCCCACGAGGACATGAAGGGTGGGTAGGAGCTTCAAGGATGGTAAAGCTTGGTGAAATCTCATGTTTTGGGCATTTTAGGAGAGGCTAGTTCTTGGAAAGGGAAAGGATGACCCTCAAAAAGGCAAACTGACGTCATTGTTATGTACCGTAGAGTCAGAACTGACCCCTAGCTGACCCTCCAGCAGGTTTTCAGAGGCAGTTAATCACTCAGGAGGAGATTGCCCATCCTCCTGTGGAGCAGCTGGTGGATTTGAACCGTGTACCTTCGGGATTGCAGTGAACTGGCATCATAGTGGCTGGGTCAAGTACATCAGAGATGAAGAGGACAATGCAGGATAGGGCAAGGTTCAGATTTGTTGTTCAGGGGGTCATTATGAGCTGTAGTCACCTAATAACTCAAACAACAGTGGTCCCCGGACAGCATGCGGTCACTGCTCAGAGAAGCAGGGGCCCCTGAATCCTTCCAAAGGCTCTCTCACTGTCCAGGCTCAACAGGAGGCAGAAGCCACTAAGGCCAGCATTTCTGTGGGTAAAGGGAACTTGAACCTGGGAACAGGAAGAGCTGGGCAGTCCCTGTGGGGAGCAGCCCTGGGTGCAGCTGCACTGAGAACTGTCTGTGCCATTCAGTGCTCAGATGGAGCCCCTGCCCTCCTGTCACAGGAAAGGGACGTGGGGTGGCAGGATGCTCAGAAAGGGCACCAGTGGTGCAGGCAGTGTTCCAAGCTGCCCAGGATCCCGCCCCCTCCCCTCCCCTCAGGTTCCACCTCCTCCCAGCAGTTAGCATGGGTCTGTCTGTCCTCTTTCACCTGGAACTGGCCACGAGGAGAGAGGGAACAGTGAACCTGAGCTCCTGAACCTATCTGTCACCAGCATCACTTGCCAGCAGTCACCGGTGCAGCTATGAGGGATCTGCTGACCCCACTTTTAGATGAACTTCCTACAAGCCCACCAGGTAGAGATGAGGCTCTTCGGCAGGGGGAAACTGGGAGCTTGGTGGACCAGGCAACAAAACTTTTTCCCTAATTAGAGGTTGCTGCCAACTGACTTCACCCTGAGGGAGGTACAGGTCAGAGCCCCAAGTTTAGAAAGTGGAGGGGCCTCTGCCTCCCTTTCCTGCAACAAGAAAGCTCTAGATGTTCACAAGAGGAAGCAGAGGAGGCCATTTAAATAATCCTGGGCCTCCAGCCAGATTTAAAGGTTGTTTGGTTAGGCCAGGGCGGGGCCAGATTCCAGTGAGAAGTTGATCCAGACTGTGTGGCTGGTTCACGTGGTTAAAGGGAAGGGCTGCGTGGGCTGGGCTGGGCGGGGCGGGGCCTGGTCTCCGCAACTAAGGCCAGTGGGGCTTGGGAGGATAGGGCACTCAGGACAGTGCAGGGAACAGTTCTAGTCTGCTGCCCATCATCTGAATTGCTCGCTTTTGCAATGATTGGGGTTTGAAAAATGTTTTCTTTTTAAAAGAAAGAACTGACATTCCATAAAGGACACACACATCATAAGCATAGCACAGACCTGAAGGACCACCACACAGCATGTCGCTTGCAGCCCAGGGGGTACCCTCCTGGCTCCCTAACCCCATCCATACGCCACCCCTAGCCCCAGGTTACTCCTCTTGTGACCTCGGTGACTACATTAGTTTTGCCTGCCTGCTTTTGAAAAGAAATAGAAAATAAATGGGCTCCTCTGGCTTTCTCTTCTGGCTTTCTTCCTGGCAGTCTGGATTTGAGACCCATCCGCCTTGTTTCATGCACCAATACTTTGTCTTGTTTATTACTTGTATCATTTTACAGTGTGGCCAAGTGAGAAAATGTAAGTCTTAATCAACTCTTGTTACTCTGTTCCTTTTTTGGTAAGTTTTTTAAAAATGAAGGTGTTATGTTCACTCTGAGAGCACACAGGGTAAAAGTGAAGGTATTCACCAGCAGTAGAAATGGCCCTTTTCCATATTTCTTTTTTTTTTTTATGGTGCCAATTTTAAATACATCTTTATTTGAGACATTGCATTTTCCACTTACAATACAGTGATAATCAAGTGCAATATTAATTCCTTTCCCTATACACATTCCATATTCAAGTATTGAGAATGCCCAGAAATTTAGTCTAGCAGTTTAGACTTTTCAACTGCAGTGTGCTACAAATTTGGGAACTTCAAAATTTAACTGTGGGACAATGAATGCTATAAAGTATGCAGATTGGTTTAGTCAACCTCTTCAATGGTGGGTCCAGAAGAGGCACCACCAGATGGAGGAGCTCCACCACCAGGGAAGCCACCAGGCATGCCTCCGGGCATGCCTCCAGCACTCGGGTACAGCTTGGTGATGATGGGGTTGCAGACCTTCTCTAGTTCCTTCTGCTGATGCTCAAAGTCCTCCTTTTCTGCAGTCTGATTCTTATCAAGCCAGTTGATAATTTCATTGCACTTGTCAAGGATCTTCTGCTTGTCCTCGTCATTGATCTTGCCTTGGAGCCTTTCATCTTCAACTGTTGCTTTCATATTAAATGTGTAAGACTCAAGGGAATTCTTAGAAGACACCTTATCTCTGCTTCTCATCTTCAGCTTTGTACTTCTCAGCCTCCAGGACCATTCGTTCAATGTCTTCCTTATTCAAGCGGCCCTTATCATTGGTGATGATAATCTTGTTTTCTTTCCCAGCGCTC